GGCAGGTGTGAGGGCAGGTGTGGGGCAGGTGTGATGAGGTGTGATGGCAGGTGTGGGGCAGGTATGGGGCAGGTGTGGGGCAGATGTGAGGCAGGTGTGATGGCAGGTGTGAGGGCAGGTGGGAGGGCAGCTGTGGGGCAGCTGTGAGGGCAGTTGCAGAGTAGGTGAGAAGGCAGGTATGGGGCGGGTGTGGGGGCGGCTGTAGGGCAGCTGTAGGGGCTGTGCAGGAGCCTCCCAAACCCAGGGAGATAAACAAATGTAATAAAAGACAGTGCCCATAACTCAGAGCCAGCAGGGATATTCAGGCCAGCGCTGCAGTCGTCCCCAGCATTAGGGGCCACAGAGGGAGCTGCAGGAGGGAGCCCCAACCTTCAGAGGCCAAGCCGAAGCAGCTGGGGAATCCTCACCTGCATCTCCATCTGTTGGGAGGCAGCTGGGCCGTCTCTGGCGCCAACATGGGACCCCCACCACCACCTAGGGAAAAGGGCACAGAGCTGGGAGTCCTGGACATGGCCAAGGAGGCTTCTCGAGGTCTGCTGGAGACAGAGTCATGCAGCTGTCCCCGTGCTGGGGGCTGTGGAAGGGGTGAGGCCACACACAGCGGGGCACAGAGGAAAGGAAGCTCGTTGTAGACGACAGGATGCCCTGGAGATGGGTAGTGGCGTCGGTGGCGCCAGGGTGAATGTGCTTAGTGCTCGGAGATGTCCACTCCAAACGGGTTAAAACGGTAAACTTAATGATCTGTGTATTTTACCACAATTAAAATGTATGAGTAAATTTAGAGAAGAGAAGGGAGGCAGAGGGTAGAGAGCGGGAGAAGAGAGCGTGGACCACACAGGCGGACAAAGGCCGTCAGCGCAGGACAGGACCACGGCCTCCGCGAAGCCTCACCTGGGCCTCGGAAGCCAGGCGAGTGCCAGGCACTACATCTGCCTGACCAGCACAAGGCCCGACAACAGGAGCCTCAGGGAGGCGCCGAGTGCGCCCATCTCCTCCGATGAGGGGAAGAGGGAGACAGTGAGCCCCAGGCAGGGGCATTGCTCAGAAATACCAATCAGATGCCCTGAGCATCTCGAGAGTGGGTGTGCAGGATCGGCCGGCCCATCCCAGCAGCCCAGGCCTCTGGAGCTGAGGCCTCCTGCAGACCCCTGTGGGATCCTGGGTGGCCCAAGAGCCAGCTTCCTGTCCATGGGGGATGCTGTCCTGAGGGCAGGGTGGGGGCTGCGACAGGGCCAACCTGGGGGCAGAGCCTGAGCCAGGTTCCCCCAAGGAAGGCAGGGCTCCCTTCTCCAGCACGGGGGGCGGGGGGGGAGCAGGATGGTGGGTGCTGGGGGCGGGGCGGGCAGGGAGGCGATGGAAGCAAGCCCTGGCCCCAGGGGCAGAGAGTCAGCAGTTGGGGAGGGCACATAATGGCCACTGAGGGCACCTGGCTAGCCTTGGGGATGATTCCCGTCCACATCCGGCTCTGCTGGCAGCTGCATTTCCAGCCTCCCTCCTAACTGTTACCAGGACGGGCAGCTCCAAGGCCGCACCCACTCCTGCAGGGGTGCTGGGAGAGGGGCCTGGCCTTTCCCAGAGGGTGGCCTGGCCCTGCAGTTCTGAGCTCCTCCCTACCCCACCCCTCGTGGCAGGGCCTCAGGGTCCCTGACAACAGCCACCTGCTGTTGTCCTCAAGGTGGCGACCCTGTGTCCCTGGCCATGCTGGGCCTGTCTGCCCATGCTGTTGTGTGAGAAAATATTCCGTGGTGTCCCCTCTGGAGAAGCAAGTCCAGTCTGTTCTGTTGTCCGAAGAGCAGAACAGCCCAGCTGAGGCCCTCTGGGGCTAGAGACTCCATGCAGGCCTGCCCGGCCCCCTGCACCCCTGGCATCGGCAAAGCCTGCAGCTAGGACAGGCCCCCTCCCCTGCCTGGGGCGGCCGCAGCCTGGGCATCCAGTGCCACTCACCACCTGCCTGGCCAGGACCCAGAGCCAGACCCAGTCCTCACCTCCACCTGCGGGCCCAGCGCTCACCCGTGCCCCCCCTCCGCATGGCTCTCTAACCTGCCTTTGGCCATTCTGCCCCTCCAGGACTGAGCCTGGGCTGTGGCAGCGCACATGTGGCCCTGTTCACCTCAGTGGGGGAGTCTGCTGATCCACAGCCCACCCAGCCCTGCCCTGGCTCCGGTGCAGCTCGCAGGCAACGAGACAGGGCTGGGAATTCACAGCCCTGCCCTCGGCCTCCCCCAGCGGCCCCCTGGGGACTCTTCACCTCTCCTTGCAGAAGGAGCCCGAGCCCATGTCCCCAGGACCTCATTTAGGTTTTTGGGGTGCAGGAGGGGACAGCCTAGGGTTCCTTATGCTGCCCCTGGGGAAGGGGTAGGCGACAGGGGAAACCACGATGCCGGGGCCCTGTGTCCCCCGGGCCTGCAGCTCTGGGCACCAGCCCGCAGCTGAGGGGAAGGGCCTGGGAGGGGAGCCCAGAACCCTAACTTGCGAGGCCAGGTTGGCTTCCTCTGAGCGCTGCTCCCTGAAGCCCCAGGACGCGGTCTGGCAGGCGAGGGTCCACCGGGGCCATGTTGGCTCTTGGAAGGGGTGAGCGCCAGCTCTGCCTCTCACAAGGCTGTGCCAGCACTCACCCCCTGGCAAGAGGCCAGCCTGGCAGTGCAGCCTCTGTGCCCTGCGACCGTGTGGGCAGCTGAGCTCCTTCTTCCTGCAAGGCCGGCAGGCGGCCATGGTGACTCACGCAAGTGGCTTTATTTCCCTGGAGAACAGGAAGCCTCTGACTCTGCCTGCCTGCCCACACTCACAGCCGGCTGTGCCTCGGGGACGCAGCTCCCTACTTGCCCCACGGAGCCAGAGCGGGCAGGTGTGGCCTCCATGGTGCCTTGCCCCGTGGTTGGTGGGGAACTCCCCACCCTGCACCCCCAGAACAGAGAGAACAACACAATCGCCTCCCTCAGCCCCTTGCTGGCCCTGCTGCTCAGGCCTCAGGGGTCCTGGCTGCCCAGTTCAGCATGCCAGGCCCTCACCGGGGCCCAGACTGTCCCAGTCCCCAGCCTTGGAGACGCCCTTGTGCACACGGAGCCTGCTCTGCTTCCCACCTGAAAGAAGCACCCTCCCCCTGTGTGGCCCGGCGCTGCTGCCTGGGTCAGCACCAGGCATGGGAGGGTCCCCAAAGCCAGGCAGGCGTGGCTGCAGCCCCTTTGAGGGTACACGGGCCCTGGGCACCGGCATGGAGGCCAAGGGAGGGGCGGACAAGAGGAGCAACAGGTGGCTGTCACAGACGGCCAGCAGCGCGGTGGGGCCCACGTCCCGCACACCCAGGAATGGCCTCTGGGAAGTCAATCCCCCCTCCGTACCTCTCCCTGTGGCTTGGAGTCTGCCCAGAGCCAGATGTGCTGTGAAACAGTGGGGGGGCTCAAGTGAGCTAGGGACCCCTGCAGGTCCCTGGGCTCCTGAGTCGGCTGCCTTGACAGCCGGGACCTGGGGCTCCAGGGGAGCTCTGAGCTTGAGTCCAGGCTGGGACAGGGCCAGACTCGCCCACTCCGGAGCTGCATAGCTGAAGCAGCCCCAGGGCAGGCACCTGAGGAAAACGGAAGTGACCCTCAGCTGAGGCAGGGGCAAGGCCGCTGGATGCCATGGCTGATGAATTCTCGCGCATTTTGCTACAACCAAAAACCACACACAGATCTGGGACTAACAGGTCCAACGGCTGCCTCCCACCCGTCTCCCGGGGCTGGGGACAGTGCTCCCCGCAGGCACAGCCCACCAGGCTGACTGCAGGGGCTGACATTCACGCATGTTCACCACAGCCCCAGGCACCGCGCAGGGAGATGGACGTGGCCTCCTGCCAGACGCTGGGAAAAACTCTGAGAACTGCTACTTTGAGTATCAACCAGTACGCACTTGGGGTGCTGGCGCTGACTTAACAGGGTGTTCCAGTGCGGGTCCCAGGAGGGCAGGGAGCCTCGGCCACCGACTCCTGGCCGCTCTAAACCTGAGCCAAACCCGTCCCTCATCAGCATGTCTGTTCAGGTGAGTCTATTTATAGCCACATCAGTTTTTCAACCGAGAGAACCTACCCAGGTTAAACAGTGCCCTGTGGGGCCTGGGCTCCTTGGCTGTCTGCAGAGGGAGAGTTTAGGATCTGCTCAGCCGCACGGAGGCCAGTGGGGCGGAGACTGCATTTCCAGCAGGCGGAGAGACGTGTGAGAGCCTTGAGGTTGGTCCCCGCTCACAAACAAAGCCGCTTCCCTGCGGTGGCATTGCTAATTTGCAATCTCAGGCACTTTCTGTGAGAACTTGAATAACAGCACCCTGGGGGGCACTGCTGGAGGGCTGCGTGAGGCCACGCTGACCCAGGAGGGGCTGCTGACCCACAGCCCACCGGCCCTGACCTGGCAGCAAGAGGCGACATCGCCCCAGCACAGGGCGTTTACCCGAGAGAGCTGCTCTCAGGGAAGGAGAGAGAAGCAGCTCTTCTCTCCCCAGCCTGCCAGCCTCAGCCTCCGGGTGATTCTGTTCGCTCTCCTTTCTCACGCCTGAGAGAGCCGAGGTGCTGGAATGCTGTCATTCCCAGCGTGTGACCATTCGTGAGCTTGAAGGGCACAGTCCCTCCATGCATAATTAATAAGCAACCAAAGCCGAGTCCCGAGGACAGCAGCCGCCAGCAGCGGCTTCACCGCCCGGCGCTTGTGTCGCTGTTTGTCCCCAGATCGGCAGAGCAGCAGGCTGGAACCCGGAGTCGGCAGAGAGGGCCACGGACCTCCAAGTGGGCCTCTGGGGGGCTCCCCAGCCACAGCCCCCCGTGCCGACCCCTGAGCTCCTCCTGGGGAGATGCGCCCCCAAGCCCCCACCCTGAACTTCTGGCTCATAGGCTCCCGGAAAGTTGAAGGTCGAGGGCTCAGCACCACGGACAGCGCACCCACCTACCTGTCCTCACTTGGGAAGGACTGGTCGCCCAGGAGGAGGTCCCGGAAGCGGTACCGCGGCGGCAGGGGCAGCACCTCCGAGTCCAGGTCGCTCATCTTGAAGCTAGCGGCAGCGGTGTCCGGGACCTTGTCTCCGAGGCCGCTGTCCTCGTTCCCGGCGCAGGGCTGCCTGCAGGCACACGCCAGCCAGCCCCTCAGCGCACGCCCCACGCCCCGCCTGGACACACAGCCCCCAAAGAGCAGACTCGGGACTGGGAGGGACCTGCAGGGAAAGGAGGGGACCTGCGGGGGGGGGAGCAGAGGACCCATAGGAGGAGGGACCTTTGAGGGGAGGGACCTGCAGGGGCAGAGGGGACACTTGCCAGGGGGACCTGGGGGAGGGGACAGAAGGAAGGGGACCTGTGGGGGGAGGAGGGGACCTGTGGGGTGCTCCTGCAGGGGGTGGCAGGGGGCAGGGTGGTCCAGAGGCCCCAGGTCTTGTGGAGGCTTGAGAAGCCAAACCCTCATGGCTAAGAACTCAGGGACTGGCGCTCAGGACAGCACTCCTGCCCCCGGGGCTGGCACAGGGACCCTCCCCCGCTCCGCCCCCTCCTCTCCTGAGGACCCAGGCTGGGCCCACCCTTCTGGCCCCACAGCCTGTGCCCAGGCCACTCAGCCTGCCTCCAACATCCAAAGTAGAAACCTGGGTCCGAAAATGACCTCCAGCCCCCAAGCTGGGGGTGGTGTCCTCAGGCTTAGGGAGGGCTTGCTCTCCATTCTCTGTCCCCAGGGCCCTATGGGCCCCAAGCTGCCCTGCAGCGGCACCAGGACCTCAGGCTTGCAGGTCCTTGACCTGACCCCAGGGTCACCGGCACGCCGTGGAGCAGAGTGGGGCGAGGGCAGCCCTGGTCCCCAGAGGAGCCTGGTTGTGTGCAGTCTCCAGGGGCAGGGGCTCATCTTCCAGCCTCCACCTCCACACCCAAGTGAGTTCTGGCTGCCGCTGTGACCCAGGGCACCCAGGCAGGGGCCAGCAGGGCCCCCAAAGTCCCCATGCCTGGCCAGCAGCCCCTGGACCTCTCTGCTCACCCCCAAGCCAGAGGGTGGCCAGTCACCCACAGGGGCCCTGGACAGCTTGCTCCCACAGGTGAGCAGTGCCCATTGCCACCACACTGATGGGCCCATGGCACCAGGGATGCAGCGACCTCTGGTCCCCTTGTCCTGTGAGCTGCTGGGGGAATAGCACCTACCCGCCTGTCCCCAGAGCTGCATGGCCATCTCAGACCACGTGACCTGCAGGACTCGGGCAAGGGCAGGGGGGCAGCAATCTGCCTCGGACAGGTATAGAAGCTGGGAGGGGTGGAGCCACCTGGAGCCCCTGACCCCAGCCAAGCAGCAGGTGGGCAGGGGTGGGCAGCCCACTCCAGCAGCTGGGGACGACACTCCATGACCACCCCAGGTCGTGGTCACAAGCAGCAGGCACTGGGCCAACACCCTCACTTTTCTGGGGTCACAGATTCAACCTCGGGATCTGGCAGCGTTTGAAAGATAACATTTCCCCCTTGCATCAGCACTGCTGTGTGTTTTTCCTGGGTCCCCGGCTGGCTGGGCGGCGGGAGGCGCAGCAGGTTGGGGGCCACGTGGGTGGGGTAGGGACCGTGTTTTCTTAGTTTTACCCCTTTCTAACTGAGTACTCCTCTCAGTGGGAAAACTCCGAGAGGCCGCCGCCTCCTGGCTCTGCTGGCCCCGCTGCCGCACCTCTGGGAACTCCAGGCTCCTCTCCTGGACCCAGGTCCCTTGGGTCAGGGGGACCCCAGTCCTGCCCACCCCCAGCTGTGGTCTGGAGGGACACAGACATGCCTCCCTCCTCCTCATGTATGCTGCCCCATCCGAGCAAGCTTGCAGTGTGAACTGGAGCCCCACGGACCTCCTGGCCTCCTGCCTTGTCCCAGCAGAGCCACGCCTCTCGTGGAGCTGAGCATCTGCGGGGTGGGCCAAGAGCCAGGCTGGACTCCCGAAGGCGCCCACCACAGAGGGTGCTGCCGAGCTGGGGCTGGGTGGAGACTGAGTGCCATGTGCCCAGGGACGGCCCGGGAGGGGCAAGAACACAGCTGCAGCACAGCTCCCGGAAGCCTGCTCCCCTGGGGTCCCCAGTCACGCCTGCTCTCCCGCTGGGCTCTGTGAGATGATGGGCACTCTGGACCACACCCACCTCCCCAGCCCAGACTCCACCCGGAGCTCGACCTGCTGGGCTCCAGACAGAGCACTTCTCTCCTGCAAGCCCAGGGCAGCCAGCTGGGGCCCTGTGGGGAGACCCCCACTCCTCTCAGGGGCCGGCGGCAGCTGAGGGTCCTGGTGACAGCTCAGCCCTGGCCACCACCCCAGGCTGGGCGGCCCCGGCAAGTCACTTCCCCTGAGCCTGGTCAGCTCATTTGTGGAAAGCACACTGACGCTCAGTCCTGTCAGGAATCTGCAGCACCACAGGACACGTGGTGCTGGGCGTGGTGTCCGGTGGACTAGTGCTTATTCTGTGACTGTCCTGGGGTGTGGACCCGAGGGGCCCAGCCCCAGGGCACAGCAGAGGAGGGGCGTCCCAGGCAGTGTGCACCAGGAGGCCACCTTGGCCACCGGGCACACAGGTGACCACAGGCCCCGACCTCCCGGCCCCTGGCAGCTGGGAGGGCCAGGCGGTGGCCCAGAATCCCGAGGACAAAGCCCAGGCTGGGATGGTCACCACCCTGGTGCAAGCCAAGGACACCTGGGCTCATGGGATGGACGGGACGGACAGCGGGGTGGTCAGGGACGTGCGCCCCAGCAGCAGCGTGGGCACTTGCTGCCCTCCCAGAGCACGGCGCAGCAGGCCGGAGGGGGAGAAAGGAGACACAGCTGTGCACCCAGCCGACCTGAGGACTGCTGTGGAGAGCCCAAGAGAATCAGCCGAGAGATCACCAGGATGGATGTGGCTCTGCCACGTGACGCCGCTGGGCGCGGGGCCCCTGGGACTCACAGCAGAGCAGCCAGGTCCCACCACAGGGCTCCGGGTCCCACGCCTGTGGCCCACACGCTTCTCGGAGGCCTGACAGGAAGCTACAGGCATCAGGGCCCAAGGGGGGGTGGCGGCTGGCGCCCGTCAAGAGGCATTGTTGTTATGTCAGAATCTGAAGGCTAGGGAAGAATAAATGCCCGGGAGGAGTCCCAGGGTAGAGCGAAAATTTGGAGAAAGAACGCATCGTGCCAGCTGTCAGCTCTGATTCCCAGCTGCGGGACACAGGGGGCTGCACAAGAAGGAACAGAGACAGAACACACAGGCGCCCCGACCTCGCTATGTCTACACTGGGGCCTGGGCTTGAGCAGGGGGTGGACCCGGCACCTCCAAGGTCAGGTGAAAGCCGCAGGCCTGTCCCCCCAAGGGCTGGCACAGGTGACCGCACAGCGCCCAACCGGGGGTTACAGCCCTGCTGCCGAGGGGCAGGCGCAGACTCGAGGCTTACGAGCCTGGCTCTCCCCTGCTACTCCATCTGCTTCCCAGCCCCTCGAGCTTGGCGGGCCCTGCTCAAAGCCAAGACCCAGCTCCAGACGGCTCTACTGATGGACAAGAGAAGCTGTGATTAGATGCCACCCCAGCCCTGGACCCAGGGAATACAGGGAGAAAACACAGAGAAAAGCCAGAATCAAGAAGCCAATGTGCCAAGTCCCCAAGGGCAGAGGGAGCAGATCTATACAGGTCTCTACCTCTGAGTACGACACAGCTGTCAACAAAAGGCCCCTCAGAGAACACAGAGCGTGGAGGGCTGCCTGGACGACTCTGAGCAGTTCTCTCCATTTTGGTTGAACCAGGCCCTATCTCCACGTATTGATGCATGCAGGCCCGGCTGGGACATTTCCTTATCCCTCCAATTGGCTTAAGCAATGCAAATGGCCCAGCCAGGTGCTGACTTGTAGTCTGTGAAGCACGGTGACAGGGCAGTGTTACCGCCTGCAGCTCCCAAGAAGCATGTGTGCGCTGGGTGGGCAGAAGGGAGAGCCGTGCTCCACGCTGTCGGCTGGGATAGAGCCTCGAGAAAGAGGCCGTGACATCTCACGACACAAAAGATTACACAGCAGAGCCGAGGCACCCACCCTGAACCGTTAGCTACTGCCTCGAACTGTGTTATGCAGATTACTCTTCCTGCATATCCTCCTCTCTGCATTTGCAGAGGTGATTTCAGGCCTCCTACCTGGCCCAGCTCAGAGCACTCACATACTTCCTGCCACTCTCAGTCACTCATCCCCGAGCCCCTCCCCTCTTGACAAATTAATAAAACCTGGATTCCGCCCTGGGTCGAGGCCTTTGTTCTAGTTAGCCATCACCCTCGCTGGACTTAGGACCCCTCAGCTCCCCACAACTACAAATATGCCTTAGGGTCTTTATTCTCACCAAGGGTTGCACTGGAAGTGGTAGACTGGAATTCACTCGCTGAGATTCCAACAACTTTTCCATGAGATTACAAATATAAACTTCCTGGACCGTGATAAGGACCAGGAAGGGCTCTCAGTGAGAAAGGAGAAACAGCAAAGACGGAGAACACATCTGTGGGAACAGCAACAGTCAGGACCCAGCAAGGTGCTGCACAGCCATGAGGACGAGAAATAGCTGAAAGTGACGTGCAGGCTGGACAGGGCAGGCCAAAGAGGAGAAAAGGGAAAGAACAGAGAGGAAGCCGTCCTGTAATCTCAGCACTCGGAGAGGCTGAAGCAGGAGGCTCACAGTCAAACCCAGTCAGGTGACTTAGGGAGACCCTGTCTCAAATTTAAAAAAAAAAAGGGCTGGGGATGTAGCTGAGTGCAAAGGCCCTGGGCTCAATCTCCAGCACCACCCAGACCCCTCACACACACACACACACACACACACACACACACACACACACACACTCAAAGAAGTGGAGACGACGGTCAGTCTCCCTGGCAAGCGGGGGTAGCGGGGCAGGGCAGGCACAGGCCCTGGAAACAGCGCGAGGTTTGAAAGCATGGTGCAGGGGGGTTGGGGGCCAGGTGCTGTTGCCAGTGTCCATCTGGCCCCCCGGGAGTGACGAGCTGATGATGTAGCAATGGGTTCCCTCCACCTGGGGGCCCTTCCTGGGGGGCACGGATTTCCTCACAGCCTCCTCCAGAAGCAACACCACAGGGACCAGACGTCCTAACAGCCATGTGCCAGTCGCTCCGTGCACGCCCAGGTCCTTGTGGGCCTGCGTGAGCCGCGCACCCACACTGCCGCCAACGCACAGCACCCTCAGGATCCCGCTGAGAAGCCACACAGCTCTTCCCAAAGAGCCCCGCATGAGCAGGGCTTCTCTGGGCCCCAGCTAGGGGTGCTAGTGAGGCCAGGCCTGGGCAGGGGCAGCCACAGGGCCAGGGCTGCATCTCATCTCCTGGCTGAAAACCCTCTCCTGCTGCTCCAGGCTGCCACCAGTCCTGAGCCTCCTTTCTGACCAGAGGGTGGGGTGGGTCTGCTCCTCAGGACCCATATATGGAGGCCTAGAAAAAGCGCACCACCCGACCCAGGGGCTTCTGCGGACAGCCAGGCTGCTTCTGGGGCTCGGGGTGATGTCTTTGCTGATAGAGGGTGGTCCTCTCCAACACACCCTCCTCAGAGTCTGGCTGGGAGCATGTGTGCACAGATGTGAGTGCATGTGCATGTGTGTGCACATGTGTGAACATGCAGTGCATGTAGACGTGTCTGTACACAGTGCACACATGGGTGCACACACGTGAACCATGCACAGATGTGCGCACACGGATATGTCTGCGTGGGCTTGGGCATCCTTACTCAGCATCCGGAAGGTCCCATGGGGGCAGTGTCACCTTGGTGGGGACAGCTGAGCACCAGGCTTGGTGCCTGATAAATGGGAAGCAGCAGGCTCCTCTCTGAGACAGAAAGTTGAACTGCAGCAGTATGTGGTGGTGCACCTGTCATCCCAGCACTGAGGGAGGCTGAGGCAGGAGGATCATGAGTTCAAGCCCAGCCTGGTAAGTTAGCAAGACCCTGTCTCAGAATAAAGATGTACCTCAGTGGTAGTTTGCCCTGGATTCAATTCCCAGGAAAGGGATAGAGGGAGGGAGGGAAGGAGGGAGAGAGAGGGAGGGAGAGAGAGAATACTGCTTCCTGTGCATGACGTTTCTGAAGCCAGCACTGTGCATGCTGGGCGGGCGCGCTGTCCCCGGGTGACATCCCTCTCCCTCGGGAAGAGGCTTCACATCCACACCGTGGGCGGCTGCTCAGCACTGTCTCGGGGACACAGCACCAAATTCCAAAGCGAAGTCGAGCCACCTGAGCTGGAGATGCAGCTAACCCTCAGCAGCCGGTTCTCCGCACCACCCAGCCAGGGGCAGAGGGCACACCGAGGCCTCACAGGGCTCAGGGCCATCACAAGGCCTGGGCCACCCCAAGAATATGGGGGGCAAAAGTCACGGGGGACTGTGGCTGCCACCCCAGCTTGGGTGGCCTCTCTGGACAGCTCGTCCCTCACCCAAAGGCAGCTGGCAGCAGGGTGCCCAGGGTCATCCCATGTGCACCTTGGGGTCCGTGCCTGCCAACTGCTTCCCACAGGCTACGTCCTGTCCTCCAGCCACGCGGCCTGCTGTGGCCTGGCACGGCAGTGGCTCACAGGTGACTGCCTATGGACAGGTTCTTAGCCCCTGCCTGAGCCATACCAGCTGTGGGGCAGTGCCAATCCCAGCAAGCAGAGCCCAGAGCTGGTGCTGGGGGGACCTAGGGCCCCCTGAAGGGCTGCATGGAGAAGGGGCCCCACTCTGTCCCCGCTGCAGCCCCCACCGGCAGGGCTAGGGCCACCACTGCAGAGTCGGGGCGGCACAGCCTGCGGAGCACTGGGCCTGGTCTGGGAGCCGAGGTGTGCAGGGCGCACCAGGCCCTGCAGGTGGTAGCACCCGGCCATGACTCAGCAGGACGGGTGTCTATGGCAATAGTGCTGATCATGGAGGGGAGGGCGGCAGCTGGTCCACCTTGAGGTCTACCCAGCCCCAATTTGGGGACTCCAAGGACCCAGGACCCCTCCAGTAGATCCTGTGGAACCTGGACCCTGACCAGCTCTGGTCAGCCTGAGCTGCCACACTAGGACCAGGGCTCCATCCTCATCAGTGCCTGGGGCACTGGGTGTACCTCTATGAGAAGGCTCCCTGGGCTGCCACCACCCCCTCTGGCCTTGGCCAACTGCTGGGTGCAGGACCGCAGCACCTACCCCAAAAAGTCCAAAGGCACAGAGCAGGACTCAGTGTAGAACACTCACAGGCTCTTCCCCGGGCTGGTGCTGGCTCTGGGTCACCCAGGATGTGTGGCCTCACCTGCCCAGGTGACCAGAAGTGGGCCAGAATGGGCAATGGCATCTGCAGGCATCCACACGGCCCAGCAGGCACTGCTGGTGGGGTTGGCATCATCAAGCCTCAGCTCACTACACAAAGGAAGCAAATGCCCCTGCCACTGCCTTCCAATGGGCACATGAGTCCAGGGGGTGATGTCACCTGCCCAGGGCCACACGGCTACTGAGCCTTGGCCTTGCAGCTGCACGGCTCCCATGATCCCCACCTCCCGGTCTAGAGCTCCTGGGATTCTCACCAGGCCCAGCTGCCCCAGGCAGTGTTCCCCTCTAATGCCTACCACTGCTCCTGTGAGCCCGCCTCCTCATCTGTCTGCCCCTCAGCCCTGGTCTGGCAGCTCTAGGCCCCCTCTCAGGATACTTCCATCCATGCCCACATTTGGGTGCCCACTCTTGCAGGCAGCACCCGGTGGGCCAGAGCCCCCCCTGCCTTTTCCATTTGTGGTGGTGACCTCAGGCCTTTCCAACCCTCCTCCAGCTCTGGCACACACGCACCTGGTGTGCACAGGTGTGCATGCACACTCAGCACATGTCCTGGGGCCTGTGGCTCACATGTGAACTCTCCCATTGCAGAGAAACCCCAGAGTTTGTGGGTGCAGAAGAGCCACCTGTGTGGCTGGGGTAGTGCCTGCAAATCCTGGCTGGCGGCCCTGGGAAGTGGAGGGGGAAACCCCAGAGGACAAAGCTTCCACAGAGCACCCTGAGGGGATAGCAAGTTGTGACGATCAAGCCACATCAGGGCTGCTCAGGGATTCCACGGTTGTCACGATCCAGGCCCCAGAGGGGATGAGACACCCACGGGGGACAGCTGAGACCGGCACACTGGGCAACATCCACGGGGTGTCAGACAGAAGCCACAATCCTAGGGTCCCTGCTGTCCCCTGCTTACTCACCGTGTCTTTGGAGCTGCTGCTGCAGAAGCCACCCCCGCCCACAGGCAGCACCCTGAGCCCTCCGCCGTGGCTGGGAAGCTGCCTGGTGTGCCCTCCTGCTGGCCAGGGCCAGGCCGCACCGTAAGCCCTCACACCATTCCCTGGGGCCCAGCTGCTTCCTGCTGTCCGCGGGCATAGCTCCCTAATATGGGCCTAGAGGGCCTGCCAGGATGTGCCTGGCAGGATGCCAGCGCTGCATTCCGTGCCCTGGCCATCAGGGCCCAGAGGGTCCCATGACACAGGGGCCGGGGTTGCTGGGAACCAGCAGTTCCAGAAAGGCGCACAGCTGGGGTGGGGACAGCCTGGCCAAGGACCCTCCCACTGCCCCAGCAGCTGTCACCTCTAGACCCAGGAAGGGACAGAGCAGAGAACGACATGGGAGGGCCATGTCCAGGGACCCTGAGGAGGCTGCTGGGGCCAGAGACCTACAAAGGGGGTTCAGGGTGGGGAGCCATGAAGGTGGGGCTGTATGAAGAGCCCAAGACCCAGAAGGCTGGGGCTCTGCTGTGGGTCCCCTCTCCTCCATCCCACAGGATAGGGCTGGGGTGTAGCTGGGTGATACCAGGTGGGGTCTCAGCACCTGCCCCAACCCACAGCCCCGCGGACCCCATTACCAACACCGTTCAGGAGGAGACACCACCCAGCCCTGGAGGAGGAAGCCAGGATCCAGGGGCACGCCGCTCCCCTCACCCTGCGGAGGCCTGGGGCAGGCACCCCCTGGCAGGCTCCTCTCTCTTGGCCTTTGCTCCAGCCCCAGCCTACCCTTCTCAGGTGTCCACTGGGCACCTGACACCCCCTGCCCTGGCAGCAGCTCCGCCTGCAGTGTGACAGTGAGTGTGCAGGACAGAGGCCAGTCAGGCCAGCAGGGGCAGAGTCCCCGAGGAGCAGCAGCAGCTGAAATCCAGGAACTAAGGGGTCAGGACTCCCACCGCGGTGCAGCAGGAGGTGAGGCGCACAGGGCAGGAGCTCAAGCTGAATGGCCCAGGAAGGTGACACCTGGGTCCCAAGAATGACAGACGGTGCCCAGACCGGGGAGGGGAGGGAAGTGGAGAACCCTCTGGCCGTCACTTATCCAGGCTGCACATGGCTCCCCAGGACCCCAGGGGCCATGCACTCTGACAGCGTTGGCGCCCTGGTCCCCTGCAGGGTATCTTCCTGTGGGGCTGCCCAGAAAATACCCACCGTGGGGCTGAGTCCAGCCGCAGTCATTTCCATAGGAGCACCCCGTGGCCCCTCTCCTGATTCGGCGGGAGGGCGCTGGGGTCTCCTCTGCGTGCTAACCGGCTCCCCCACGCGGGCTCCCCGCCCCCCTAGGAACGACCTTGCAGCCGGCGCCCGCACACCTGCCGCCCCTTTGGCACGACGGAGAGACGCTCGCGGTCCTGGGGAGAAGGGACCCTGGGCATGGGGGTCCGGAGCTGGGGGTCCTGGGGACTCCCACGGAGCGGCGCCAGCCCAGCTGGGGGGCTCCCCGCGCAGCAGCCTGTACCTGAGGGCGCGTGGACCGTCGTCGAACTCGAAGGTGCAGTTGGTGTAGCCCCTCGGGCTGCGCCCCGCGTCGGGGACCGGCATGAGCGAGTCCCAGCCCGCGCTGCTCCCACGAGGGGCCCCACTCAGCCTCCTCGCTCTCGGCCAGGTTTCCGGCGCCTGTCCGCGTGCGCCCCCTGCCGGCCGCACCCGGTCTGTGGCGGCGTCCGGCTCCGCCTGGGCCGGGTGGAAGTGGAAGATCCTCCACCCTTGTTAGAGACACGATTTGTAGCCCTGAAAACAGGAGGGGCGAGTCTGCGGCTAGGAGAACCCACGCGCATACCAGGCCGTGCGCCCCTGCGGGGCTCCATCCCAAGGGACCCCGTGCCCCTCACCCGCAGAGGCAGAGGTCTGGGGGAGGGGCAGTGATCTGCACGGGGGCTCCCCAGGTCAGAGGTGGGCCAGGGTCAATCTGGGGGTGCATGACGAGATGGTCCCTGGGCCCCGGTGCCTCCGGAGTCTCTTCCCTGCCTGCCTAAGGCACAGCAGGCTGAACACGGGCTTTCTGGGGGTGGGGCACTGGGACAGGCCTGGGGTGTCCCCCAGGGGTGCATCCTGGGCTTCCTGCTTGGTCCTGAGTCCCGAGCGAGGCACTGCTCTGCCGGGTCCCTCCTCCCCCAGCCAGGTGCCGTCCCCAGCAGGACTCTGGTCTGTCCACTCCGGCTGGACCTGACCCACAGCGTGGTACCTCTCTTGTCCCAGGACTCAGAGAGCGCACTCTGCGAACCAACCCCCTACGTCCGCCACCACTCGCGGGAGCCCTGACCGAACAGGCACAGATTACCACAGGGCTGTCAGCCGCGGAAACCCAACGCCCGGTGTTCTTCTGGGAACCTAACTCGGCCCTGCTCCGGCGTGGGGGAGCGGGAGGGGTGGGGGCGGGGCCCTGCCTTCCCGCCCGCTGTCTCCGAAGGCAGCTGAGCCGAACGGGGCTGCTGGAGCGACTCCCAGCTTGCAGTTGTCCCCCAAACAGCCTCTTTGTGACACTGAGGACCTCCAAGGGCAGGCGCTGCCCACTCCTCGCTTCCTGTACAATCCCGTCAGAAGCCACGTGGCCGCCTCTAAGCAGGGGCCCTGGAGCTGCCCCTCAGGCTGGAGATCCCTGCCCAGAGCGCGCCCCTCCGCGTCCTCCAGCACCCGTCCTCTGTGCCACCCCGATCCTGGGCCTTCTCCCCTCTAAGGGGACCCTATGGCCCGCAGCCCCGGCTGGGTGCAGTGCTGTGTCCTACAGGCCAGGCAAGGATGGAGAGGGCCTGGCCCCCATGGGTTGCACCCCTCACACCCCAGAAGCACGGCTTCCTTCCATCTCCAGCTGATGCCCTTTCTGCCACCCAGAGCCCACCCAGTACCCAGCCCGAGGCCCAGTGGACATTGGCAAGCGCTCTGCCTGCCCTGCACCTGGGCCAGATACCCCTGGGACGGCACCTACTCTGGCTCCCTCTTGCTGCTGTGTCCCCTCCCGCTTCAGTTACCCCCTCCAAGCAGCTGTCCCCAGCAGGAGCCAGGAAAGTCATCACCAGGCAAGCCCGATGCCTGGCACCCCTCCTAAGCTGCGTGACCCGAGAGCCATTTCTGGAGAAGAGAAAAGTCTCTCCCTCCTTCACCCAGGCCCCACAGCAAGGGCTCCTGCACAGGGAGCGAGCTGGAGACACGGGGCAGGTAGGTGCCCTTCTGCGGTTGACACATTGCCTTCACGCCCACCCTCGCAGGGAGCTCCGAGCCAAGGCGCACGCCTCCCTAGGGTCCAGAGACCTCGCCCAGGGGGCTTGAGGCTTCTGGGTAGGGCGAGCGAGGAGGCTGGGCCCCGCAGGACCCCCACTGGCGCCCATGAACCTGCGCGAGCGGAGGGCGGCCAAGAGTTCTAGCAACTTCTCAGGGGTGGAGCTCTGCCGCCATGGGCGGGGCCGTGGGCAGGACTGCGCCGCGGGGGCGGAGCGCAGGGCGGGCGCCACGTGCAGACGCCACGTGCAGACGCCACGTGCAGGCAGGGGCGCACGTGGGGGCGCGCACCGTGCGGGGCGGGGCTGGCGGGGAGCTTGCGCGCTGCGTGGGCCCTGCGCCGCCTTTCTTCCTTTCTCCTCGCTCGCTGTGCGTTATGGCGTCGCGGGCTTCCGAGCCCAATGCTGAGGTCCACAGGGCCCCTAGCCTCGGGAGGTGCCCGTGAGTCACTAGGTGGTGGGCCGGGGGGGCGGGGGTCTGGTCCCAAGGCTTCCCACCCCACCCCACCCCGCCCTGCCCGGCCCCGCCCCGCGCTCCTGGCCGTGGGTGGGAGGAGGCGCCAAGCTGGTCCGGCCGCCTTCCTGGGTGACCTGGGCCCTGCTGTCCGCTGCACCCGGCCGCGCCTCAGAAGCACCCGTTACACCCACGGCAGCCGGCGGCCTTGCCTGGGGTTCGCAGAGCCGCGTGCGCTTGCTCTTTTCCATGCAGCGGCCCTTCCGCGCCCGAGTCTCAGGCCAGTTTTGAGGTCCCCATGCACGTCCCAGGCCCCGAGAGGGACCCCATGGCCGCCAGGGGCCCGGGCCTCCCAAGGAACGTGCTCAGCGAGCGGGAGCGCAGGTGCGAGGCCTGGGGACCGCTCCAGTCCCCTGGGGCGGTGGGGGTGTGGGTGGCCGAGTTCTAGGCAGCCTGGTGGTCACCCCGCAGGGGGAGGGGCCTCCCGGGGTCACTGCAGCCCGCTCCTTGCCCCCCAGAATGCGGGCATCCAGACTTTGATTTATTGTGGGTGTGACCGGGGTCAGGGTGGGAGCCAGCTGTGCCACGGGTGGACAGCGGCCTGGTCCTCGGGACCCTGCTGCCCGAGAGGCCCCTCCCCTGGGGCTGCTGGGTGGTGGGCTCTAGGGCCTGGGTCCCACGTGGTGACAGTCGGGTGGGTGCACGGACGTCTGAAGGACAGCATCACTTGTCCGGAAGCAGGAAGCGGATCTCGGCGAGCTGCGAGCGCCTTCGGGCCCTGCTGCCCAGATTTGACGGCCGGAGGGAGGACATGGCGTCCGTCCTGGAGATGGCCGTGCAGTTCCTACAGCTGGCCAGCAGCCTGATGCCCACCTGGGAGCAGCACCACGTGAGTTGTCAGTGGGTGGACCCTGAGTGCGGGACACCCTGTTTTCTGCAGGAGTGCTTTGGTGTCCCCTGCACCCCAGCCCTGTCCCAAACAGGCTGGGCGAGCTCAGGGTGCACCTCCGGTGTCAGGGCACGTGGCGAGGCAGCTGCTGCCGTCACAGCTACTTCCTGTGGGTCTCATGGGTGACCCTGCTGCCGGTGCTTGAATTTCAGGTTCCTGCTCCAGCTAGGGCCACGTGGCACGCGTGGCAGGGGGACGTTCTACAGTGGACCCTGGCGAGCCAGGTTTCAGCAGGCGGTTCAGACCCAGGGACAGCAGTGTCCGGCCTGACTCTGTGAGTGTCCCTGTGGCCCATCTCTCAGGGACATGTGGCACCCAGGGCACAGACACAGTCCCTGTGGCACATCTGTGGAACGGGTGGCCTGGCGTGGTCTCCAGGATGAGGGACTTGCTCTAGGGACAGGCCGTGTCGTCCCTGTTGCTTGAGAGAGCAGAGCCAAGGGATGGGGTCATGTACTCCCAGAGGAGTGGTGTGGTCAGCAGACTCAAGGGGCCAGAGTGGTGCAAGGACATGCAGCACCCGGGGCTTGGGCCGGGCCGGGCCTGGGCGCTCACACTGCTTTGGTTTTCATCCCGTCCAGGCAGCAGGAGCCCCTGGGATCTGCGTCCCGGGGTGTGGGCGAGAGCAAGGCCCCAGCCGGGCTGTCAGAGCTGCTGGACGGGCTGCCCGCCCTGCCTGGTAAGCGTGGAGTGTGTGAGCACACTGAGCCTGGTGGCCGTGCGTGTCAGGGTGAACAGGGTGACCTCCCCCTGAGCACATGGCTGTCTCTGGCAGGATGGGCAATCTCAGAACAGCTGTCTGTGGCAACCCCGAGATTGGGCTGAAAATCAGGGACCTGCCCCATCCCCTCCCCCGCCCCAGCTGCCCCACAGCAACCCTCCCCTACACCCCAGGCCACCAAACATCCCCTAGTGGGACCCAGCAGGCCAGCCCGTTCTGGTCACCCGCTAGACACACCTGCAGCCAGCTCTGCGCACCATTACCTGTGCCTTTGTTCCCTGGCTGGTTGGTGGCAGGTTTGCATCCCAGGTGGGGCCAGAGCTCTGGTTCCCAGGGCCGTCCGTCTTGCCCGTGCTGCCTGTGGGGGCTGCAGCCTTCTGGCCCTGTCTCTGCCCCGCGGGCCTTGTTCCCTGCTGCCACAGCCCTGTCCTCGGCCCTGCCTGATGCTCGGTGCACCACACACGTGTGCTTGCTGTGGGGAAGTCACCCGTGGTGGGGGTGCTGTCCAGCCCTTCCAGTGTGCCCACTGTTGGGGAGGAGCCAGCTGTTGGCAGAGCTGGGGTTGCCAGCAGTTCTGAGACCCATACAACACGTGTCAGGTGGCGTGGACCAGGAACAGGTCCGGGGCCTAAGGTGGAGGTTCAGGACTGAAGGATCCCCAGATCTGACCCTACGGGCGGCCTGAGGCCCCCCCTTCCACCTGTTGCTGGACATGTCCCTGCCTGGTTCCCTGTCTGCTGCCTGCCAGCAGGGTTTCCCCTATGAGTTGCAGTGGTGGCCTCCAGGCAGAATATTGAGGCTGTGAGCTGCAGCGGGTGGGAGGGCTGACCGTGTCGCCCCCTCAGGACCCTCCAGCCTGGGGTCCCGGCTCCCACCCTGGCCTTCCTGCACCTGGCAGCCGACCTCCCCTAAGATGAGCGAAGAAACCACTACCAGGCAGAGCCAGGCTGGGCCTCCAGCCAGGGGCACCACATCCCCAGGCAGGCCAGCGGGGGAGGTGGCCCTGATGCCTGCAGTGGATACCAGGTGGGTACGCGGTGCACCATGCGTGTGTGTGACCTTGAGAGCCTCCTGCACCCCGCCCAGCCCTTCCCACTTCCTCCTTTCCAAGCTCTTGTTCTGTGTTCTGCGCCTCCCTGTGCCATGTGGCTTTGTGCTGTGTGTCTGTTACGACGCAGTTGTCTCCCGATGGTCTGTTGTTTTGGCTGATGTAAGATGAGTTTATGTTTCGGGAGCACACACCAGCTGGGCGTGGGAGGGGTGCGCAGGAGCGCGACTTTGGTGCGGTTGTGGCTGGGGCTGGAGTGGGACCAGCAGAGATACTTGCTGGATGGATGGTGCTGGGGCTGGGGCCTCTGCGGGCCTTCTGCCTGCTCCTTGGCGTCTGGAGCTCCGCGGGAAGCACCGTTGCATGCCGTGGGGCCTGGGGTCGGCAGGTCTAGGTGCACCTGTGGCCGTCTGCTTGCTTCCAGGTCCACATTTGGGCTGGATCTGGAGGATGGGGAGTCCTTTCCGCCGAGTGCCAGTCCCGAGTGGTGGCTGGGTGAGTGGGGCCTGGGTCTAGGTTGCCTTTGCCCACATGGGTCCTGGCTGGGGGTGGTGCCCAGGAGGTGGGGTGGCCATCCAGGGCCTTCTCTGGGCCTCTGCTGCCTCCCTGGCTCTTGGTCATTAGGATGACCAGCAGCGAGGTGAGGTAACATGAGCAGAGTGCATGCAGCGGGCTGCCTAGGGTCCTGGGCCTGTTGTCCCTGCCCTGGTCCCCACAGCCAGCCACACTGGCTGCTGGAGGCATCTGGAGGTGTAGTGTGGTAGCTGCCGCTGTGCCCTGACTCTGCCTGCGGCCAGGGCCCCCAACTGCCCTGCTGACGTGATCCTGTGCTTTCAGGGTCCGTGGAGGCCAGAGGGACCCCAGCCAGAGTCTCAGCCAGGAGCAGCCCGGTGGGCAGGGCAGAGTCGAGTTTCCTGGGCGACCCCATGCCCGGCTCCCAAGAACTCCAGGATGGAGCTGTGGGAGCCCCTCTGGAGCTGTGGGGCTCAGACATGGACACCTGGGGCCTGGACCTGAGGGACGACGGAGTGGACAGCATCTTCACTGACTTCCTGGCTTGCTAGAGGCCGGGCAAGCAGCAGCAGTGCCCGTTGTGCACGTGGACGGTTTATTTTGGTTTTGGGTCGCAGCTGTGCTCTAATTTGAGCAAGGCTGGCAGGACCATGCCGGGGGTGCCGAGTATTAAAGAGGAAAAGCGTTTCTCCTGGAGGAAGCAGGATTTCTGTGTAATTAGTCTAATTCATCAGGCAGCTGCCCGGGCTGGGCTCTGCAAGGGCCTGGGCGTTGTGGACTCCTGAGGTAATCGCCCTGGTGCCTGGGCGGGGGCACAGTGCAGGCCTCTCCTGAGCTGCTCTGAGCTGCTCTTTCCTGCTTGGCGTCCTCCAAGTTGAGGGGCTGGGTGTTTGCGCTGCCTGGGGACGAGGTTCTCTCCCAGGACAGGGATGTCTCCCCTTGCACTGGTCACCTCTGTGCTCACCATGAGTAGGGTTGTTAGGGCACCCTAGACCTCCCAAGCCCCAGCATCTCAGGAAAGACTGGGCTGGGGTGAGCTGTGGGTAAAGCCCCAAGCTCTGGTTCCACAAATGGATGCCAGTCTCCGGGCAGGGTGAGCTTGCACTCTGGAGGTGTGGCCCTGTCCCTAGGTGCCACCCCACACCAGCCTGGGTTCTGTGGCCCAGAGCAGTGCCAGACGCCAAAGAGAAGATGGGTGCTGATGTGGCCTCGTGCCCCCACACCTGGCAAAGCCCGTTCGTTGCAGGAGTCTTGCACACTCGGCCCACGGCCACAGGTGTGAGAAGGAGGCTCTTTCATGAGAGCTGGGAGTGAGAGCCACGATCCTGCCCTGGGCAGAGCCCCCAGGCTGGGCATGACCTGCATGTGCTTGCTGTGGTCCCTGGGGAGGGGTCCAGGGGCCTTGAGGCAGTGCAGGGTTCACTGTGAGGTGGAGACCTGCAGGAATGAGGAGCCCCAGGGGTGCTGGCCGCGCAGCAGGGGTCAGGGCCTGGCTGCCTGCATGCCTGACACACACGGGTCCGTGTTCGCTCTCCCTGCCCACCAGTTGCCCCCAGGAGCTTGGTTTCGGGTGTTTCCTGCAGGAACACATGCATGTCCTTGTGTGTGTTTGTGGTACACCTATGTGCTAGTGTGTGCATGTGTGTGCATGTGTTTGTGCATCCATCTCTTGTGTACACTGGTGTTGGGGTGTACATGGTGTGTGCACATGTGTGTACATCTGAAGTACGGGCCTGTGCTGCCTGGAGAGGGCACCATAGGCTTTGGGGGCTCCCTGCCTTGCGCCCCAGCTCCAGTGGTGGGGGTAGAGACGGTGAGCTCAGGCCAAACAAGTCCTGTCCCCAGCCCAGCAGGATGGTCGTGAGCTACTAGGCTCCTGTGGGCTGAGCCTAGCACCTGGCCTGCGCTTGGTGCTGGTTCACAGCCTGTGTGGGAGGCCGGATCCCCTGCAGCCTAGGGGAGGTTGGGGAGCCGTGATCAAGGGCCCAGGCCTAGGCACTCCTGGACTTCCTGCTGGCCAATGGGAGGGACCCGTCCCAGGAGGCAGGTGGCCTCCTGTCCCTTCGGAGCAGAGTTAGAAATGAACCTGAGCCCCAGTCGGGCCGTGGCTAGCTGTCCCTGCTTGGGGACTTTGAACCTGGAGGGGCCTTGTCATGCCCTGGCACCGGTGGGCGCAGCCTGCTTCTCAGGAAGCTTCCCCACTGGGAAGGCTGTGCCAGGGCTGGCATCCAGGGCAGCTTCAGGGAGCTGCAGGGGGTTGGGACCACCTCAGGAGTGCAGAAGAAGGGGCCACCTGGGCCCAAAGTCTGTGGGCTGCTGCTCTGGGCAAGTGTGTTGTCCCCTTGTTCCCGTGCAGCTCTCCCCGCTGCCTCCGCTTCTGGGGCTCCATTGTGGACCAAGCTGCAGGTCTGGTCACCCGGGATCAGAATTCATGAGCAGACAGAGCTCAGTCACTGGTGCTGCTCCACGCACTCTCCCTACCCTGCCTGGTGTCTGTCTCCCTGGGAGGTAGGGCAGTGGCCTGTCTCCCTCCTGCTGGTGTCCAGCCTGCAGGGACAGGCAGGCAGAGGAAGCTGGGCCTCCCCACTGCAGGCCTGGGCAGTGAGAGCCAGCTCAGCCCTGGTCCAAGCCCACCACTGCCATCCCCAACAGGCACCTGGTGGACACAGCCCACAGCACGAGGGTGCCCCCACCCCAGGGTGGCACAGCACTTCTCAGGGGCCAGACCGCCACCCGCCTTTGTCGTGGCTGCATGGGGTCACCGTGTCCCTCTCAGACCCTGAGGTGGTGGCAGAGGGGGGGGTGCAGCGCTGTCGCAGGAGCCAGCTCTCCCACCAGCAGGTAATGGGCACACCTCCCTTTCTGCAATGCAGTGGCCCCCAAAATTCTCACCTTAGTGGAACCTCAGGATGGAGGCTCATTTGGAAATGGGGTCCTTTGGGTGTTCTTATGTAGGGGTCTTGAGGTGGGGTCGTCCTGGAGTTAGGGTGGATGCCTTCAGAGGGCGCTGGGGCAGAAGCAGGGCCCCAGTGACACTGCCTGGGACAAGGAACCACCAGGAGAGGGAGAGGCCTCTAGAGACGCCCGCCCTGCCGAGACAGCTTGGCTTCTGTGTTCCAGTCTCCAGGACCGGAGGGGACACGTTTGTGCTGCTTGAACCTCTGGCCGTGGTCAGCAGGCGCAGCAGCCTGGGAGCGAATGCCCGGCTTTGCTTCCAAGCAGGCCGCTTGTCTCAGCGCCCCTTCTGCACAGGTGTGGAAACCCCCAGTCCCAGGCAGGCAGACGTCTTTCAAAGCTGTCACCTTGCTGGGTCGGCTTCTCCGCAGGCCCAGTGTCCCTGCCTATCGTCCCTCTGGGCTCCCCAGGCCCTGCCCTGCCCTGGGTGTGCTCAGCTTTCCCACCCCAGAGGTGGTCCCTGCAGATGGGCAGAGGCTGTGGCCACCTGAGGCCCCCCAGGCACGGCTGGCCACCCCGTGTTTGTTCTGATGGCTCCCTGGTGGGGTCCTGTCAGAGAGGAAGCACATGGTGGGCACAGTACCCTGCACAGTTGCCCAGCTCTCCAGGTCACCCTCCTCGGCTGGGTATCCAGGCTCAGCTGCCGCCGCTGCCTATGTCAGCTGAGGGCTACTCCTTGGCATCTGCCCTGAGGTCTCTGAGATGCCATTTTTGGAAATCAGAAGCTGACATTGCCACCCCTTCCTGAACAGATGTTTCACCATGGCCTCTGGCAGAACTGCCCAGCACCCCACTACCGGGAAAGGGCGGGGGATGAGTGTCACTGCTTTGTCCTGGGGGCTCTGAGGCACCTCAGACCGTAGGGGTACAGGATCTGCACTGTGTCACTAGTTAAGGCTGCCTCCCTCGCCCCTGGGCCTCCCGGGGGTATGGGTATGAGGACAGGTAGGCGACCGGCAAGGGTGGCAGGTACAGCTCTGCAGCGCATGGCTGTCCTGCTGGCCCTGCAGTCTCCCCCAGAAGCCTAGGTCCCCAAGCCCCGTCCCTGAGGCTCTTCCCACCTCCATCTTTTGGGTCAGCACACATCCTATGACTTGGGAGCTCCCCACACTTCCGGCCCGGGGTCAGGGACACTGGTGTCAGCTTCCCGCTCACCTCTGCGAGTCTGGGCTGTTGGGTACCTGTGGGTGGCTCTCCTGTCTTGTTCTGCCTGGTGCCAGGAGTTTGTCACCTGCTGGATGTCTGGCTGTCCTTCGAGAAGGGTGCTGTCCTCCCTGTGGCCCATGGGCATCTGTACGGGAGCCTGTGGCATTCACCTCACACAGGACACGGAAGTTTTGAGCCTGAGGCGACCTTGCCACCTCCTACCCAGCCCGTGCATGTGCCCACGGCCCTGGGCCACCTCCTGGTCACCTATTCCCTGGGGACACCACCTGGAGCCATGGCCAGCTGCTCCATGCTTTGCCTTACAACTTCCCTAATTTGAATCCCAAATTCCTCCCTTCGGTTCTGCCTGGTCTTGACACCTGTATGAGCAGCACCACGCAGGCCACGTGTGACCCCACGGCAGCATTGCAGGGAAGCTTACTGTGTCTGTGAGGTCCACGCATGCAGTTTCGTTTCATTTTTATTCCATTCACCAGGGGAGCTGCTGCATGGCCTTGGCACCTCTTGATTCTCTTTCCACCCTTTCCCCCTCCCTCCCTCCCCCTTCTCCCCATTCCCGTCCTATTTTAAAAATTATGTGTTCTGGTTTTGTCTTTTTGTTTCTGACTTATTTCCCTCAGCATAAGATCTTCAGGGTTTGCCCAGGTTGTGGCACGTGTCTCAGTTTTCTTGCTTTTCGAGGCTGGGTAATGTTCCGTTCTGTGTGTGCACCTGTGTGTGTGACGCTTTGTCTGTGTACTATCTGTCTGTGGGTGTTTGGATTGTTTTCACACTTGGTTCTTGCAAACAATGCCGCTGTGCAACCGAGGCGGCGGTATGAACACTGTCTGGGCTGCGGCTTTAGACTGTCTTGGGTCTGTGTACACAGGCGTGGGGTTGCTCGGATAGGAAGTCTGTGTCTGTGTATTCATTTGCTTAATGGTGCTGGGATTTGAACCCAGGCCTTGCGCATTTGAGGCAGGCACTCTGCTGCTAAGCCGCCACCGCCCTGTGTGTGCGCTTTGGACCCGCTGTGCCATCCATGTTTGTCCAGTCCACGTGTCCATGCCCGCCCTGTGTGCATGGTTTCCTGTTCAGGTTGAAGTGTTGATGGAGGCTGAGCTACAGGGTGTGAAGGGGGGCTCTTGGGGCTCTGGTTTGCATTTTCCTTGCGGGGGGCAGCGCTGCATCCTTCAGCAGTGCGTCGCCGTTCGAGTCTTCTGCACCTCGCCAGGACATCCGGGTTCTGCTGCCAGGCAGCAGACGCTCTGTGTGGATCCTGGCCAGTGTCCCTCACTGGGTTTGCAGATACGCCCTGCCGCCCGCTGGTCACCTCTCCGCTTTCCTGTTAGTGTCCTGTGATGCTCTGAAGCTTTTGATTCTGATAAGATTTGGTTTATCTTCTTGTGATGGTTGCTTGTGCTTTTGATACCGTCTCTAAGCAGTCATCCCCAGTCCAACACCACGAAGGTTTTCCTCTGTGTTTTCTTCGATGGGGCTGACAGTTTTAGTATTCGTGTGTAGGTCTCTGGTCCCCTCGCAGGTTTGAGAGAAGGTGTAAAACCCAGCGCTACCCCTGGCATCTGGGTATCG